CCGAGCAGCGAGCGAGGTCTCCTGGCGGAAGTCCCGGGGCCGCCCCCTCGGGCCGGGAACCGAGAGGCGCGCCCAACGGGGGGGGGAAGAGAGAGAAGGGCTCCTCGGGGCTCCCAGCCCTTTGCCGCCCGCTTGCCTCCGCCTTCGCCTCGGGACGTTCGCCCGGAGCCGGCCGCGCGGATGGAGGGCCCCGGTGCTGCCTTTGGGGACGCCCCGGGAGGGATGGAAGCCTGCCAGCCGCTGCGGCGCCCCTTGGCCGGGGGTCCGTGGCTCGGTTCTGCGGGCTTCCCGCCTGCCTGCCTGCCTGCCTGCCTGCCTGCCATCCTAAAGAAAGGAGGAGCGGCGCCCGTCCCGTTGCCTTTGGCCGGGGTGCCTGAAGGGGGTCTTCGGATCTGAGAGGCCCCCTCCCCCGGCTGCTTCTCTCTCTTTTGTGGGCTCCTGGAAAGGGGGAAATGTGGGGCTGGCCCGGTTGGCCCCCTGTCCTGCCCGTGGGCCGGTGGGTCGTTGCTTGGGTCGGGGTGTGACTCTCCCCGCCTTCTCTCCCTCCACAGAGGAGGCCACCGACCCCGGGAGCCCCGAAGAGAACTGGGAAGGCATCCAGAGGTTCAGTGAGGAGGTCAACAGAGACCCCCAGGGGTAAGGGACCAAGCCCTCCCTGGCTCCCCTTTCCTGGTTGAGATGTTTGACACGTGGACTGGTTTTAATGTGCGTGGCCTGGTTTGTCTCATTCCACCCCCCCAGCCCCCTGGCTGCTCTGAGGTTGCTGGAGCATAAGATCCAATCGCCACAGGAGGCAGAGGCGCTCCATGCGCTCACCGTAAGTGTGACTGCACTTTGTGTGTGTGTGTGTGTGTGTGGCTGCTGTAGCTTCCAGGGTATGGCGAGGGAGGAATGGCACTCCGTGTCCTTGTTCCACTCTTCCTTGTGTGAGCGAAGGCAGGGCAGCTGGTGGGGCTGTAACCCTGGGCAGGAGGTGTTCCTGGTGGGGAGGCAAGCATGCATGCATGTCCCCCCACCCCACCCCTGAATGCCAGTCCCTTGGGAGACCCCCAGGTTTGGGGCATGCCGTTCCAGAGAAGGTCTCGCCTCTGGTCTGTCTGTTTACGGCGCTCCGGATATCAGGAATCCCAGCGTTCCAGGGTTGTAGACGGCAGGAACTCCCATTTTGGGTTCAGGCTGAGCTTTGCCCCTTCCTGCTTCCCTTCCAGGTCCTGGAGGTGTGTGTGAATAACTGTGGGGAAAACTTTCACCATGAAATGGGCAAGTTCCGTTTCTTGAATGCGTTGATCAAGGTCCTCTCCCCCAAGGTAGGTCTGGAGCCCGGCTGTGCTGAGGAAGGGGAGCCTGGGGGCAGCTGGAAAGGGTGTCTTTTCTCCCCCCTCCCTCACCAGTCAGGCACAAATGGGGTGGTGGTGGAGCCAAACCCAGGAGGACAAGGAGAAAATGGGGAACCAAGATAGAGGCAGACCACTTTTTCTCTGAGGTCCCCCTGGACCTGTCGTGAGGGGCCTGATCCTTCCTGGAGGCGCCACGCCTGAAGAGGAAGTCAGCCTGGTCTGTGCCCCGTGACTCTTAACTGGACTGCCTGCCCTCCACAGACAGTCAGCTGAGCCTCAGCACAGAGTAAAATCTGGCTGGCAAGCAGATAAGAGGGCAACCAGTGATTGGGAGAGGAGGGTGGCCCGTGGGAGCGGAGGTCGGCGAGGGCGAGGGCCCAGGCTTTCCTTGCAGATGATGAGACTGCAAGCCTCTGCCCCGTCTATGTGGGTTTGCTTTCCGGGTCAAGTGGGGTGGGGGTGGGGTACGCTCTTGGGGGGCTGCTGTGCCCCCTCCTCTCCCCCCCTTTCCTTTGGGCTTTGCAGTATCTCGGAGAGTGGTCCACCGAGAAGGTCAAGGCTCGCATCGTTGAGCTGCTGTTCAGCTGGACGGTCTGGTTTCCTCAGGAAGTGAAAATCCGAGATGCTTATCAAATGCTGAAGAAACAAGGTTCCCCTTCACTGGCTTCTCTGCCTTGTCGGCCTCCCACCCCCACCCCCCACACGGTCACATGCCACTCCACAGCGGCTGCCTCCAACCGCAAGCCTGCTGAGCGAATGCCCTGACGCTCCGTTTTCTCACGAGGCTTCTGGGCTCTGCGGATGCAGGAGGGCGCCTCTCTCTCTCTCTCTCCCTCCTCGTCTCTTTCTCTTCCCCTCTTCTTCTTCTTCTTCTTCTTTTTTGTCCTGGAAACCCTCTCAGAAGGAACTGCGCTTGTCCAGCGAGTGCTTATTGACCCCTAACCTTTCCCTAAGGGATCTTGTAGGGCCTGAGGGCAAGACGTTTCCCAGTACCTGAAATGCAAACTCACTGGGAAGCAGGGAACTGCCGCTCAAGGGGTGCGCGGTTCGGCTGCCCAGGCTGACCCAGAGATGCACAGCTCTGCCCTTATGGTCCCCCCCCCCACACACTTTAATTTTCCTTTCAATGCTGCAAAGGCACGGAGGGACCAGATGTGCAAGATGGCTCGTTTATGATCTCCGTATTCTGGACGGGGTCGACTTGTTCACTGGATCTTGTGGGTTTCTTGCCTTTGATGTATTATCTTGGAGGCTGGCCAAACTTTTGGGGACCTCTGGGTGTGTCATACGTAGTTATAACCTTTCTTTCAGGAATTGTGAAGCAAGATCCCAAACTGCTGGAAGACAGAATTTTACCCCCACCTTCTCCAAGACCAGCTAGTTCCATTTTTGATGCTGATCACGAGAAAGCCCAGGTAACGTTCCCTTCCTTGGCATCATGTTAGGGCAGCCGCCCTTCCCCATGTCCTCCTCGTTTTCCTTTGTCTCCCCCTCCTATCAGCAACCCCTCGCATCACAAAAGACAGGAGGTCTTTGAGAAACACACTAAACCGTCACCCCTAAAAACACCCAGAGTGAAGCTGGTGTGCACGGCAGCTGTGGAATATGGTTGTTGAGAGAAGACCTGGGAGTAGAACGGAGCATCCCACAGGAAGGCTGGCCAGCCAGCTGGTTGAACAGGACCCTGGTCTAGGGATGAAACATGCCAGTGGCTGGCAAGCACCGACCAATTCCACAGCACAATGGGGCTGTTCACACACAAAGCATCCATATCCAAGTGGATTTTGCATGATGCTTCTAGCTGGGTTTTCTTCTTTCTTTTCTTCTGCAGCTTTTAGCGAAGCTCCTGAAAAGCAAAAATCATGAAGACCTGCAGGCAGCCAACAGGCTGATCAAAGGGTTAATCCAAGAGGTGGGTGTGCATTTGACGAAGGGGGCTGCTGCAGACCCCTGAGGCCAGTCATCTTTCAGGGACCCCAAGATGACTTGCAGATGATGGCATCAGATGGTGTCTTTAGGGATGGCTGATGGGTGAGAGGCAGGAAGGTTGGCTCAGGGTGGGTGGGTTTGGTTCTCTCCCCCCCCCCCAGGTTTGCATTCCCGCAGCTCAGTTATGAGGTCCACCTTGTGGGTTGTGGCCAGGGAAGGGCTTGAGCAAATGGCCCTTATCCTGAGCCCCCTCAGGCCTCGTGCAGGAACAGGAGAGATCGGCCAAGGCATCTAGGCGGACAAATGCTGTTAAGGAAGCGCACGATACAGCGAAGGCCCTGGAGGAGATGCTGAGCCACTACCAGGCCAGGCCAGGAGCAAGGAGCCCCAAGCCTTCCCTGGAGGCCCTGCAGGTAAAGCCCTCTTCCTGACCAGTTTGGACGGTCCTGGACAGATCTGTACGGAACGTGTCCCTGTGGGCGCTCTGGAAGGCCTCAATGGAGGGGGGCAGTCTTGCCTTTGCCATCCCCCCCAGGGGGAGGGGGGCTCCCAAGAAGATCAGTGGCTTGGCAGGGGCCTCTTTCTCCTGCAGGTGGGGAGACGGGAGGGTCTCTGGAGCAGAGAAAGAGCCCTGTGGCTTCATACACTCCAGCCTTTATGTGCCCTGCACATCACTGTGGCCAGGGCTTCATTAGGTTCAGGGTCTGGACCCCCAGATGGATGCTGAGCACCCTGCAGCTTATCCTGAGATGTTTGCCTTAAGTTTGAAAGGAGAAAACAAGCACACCCACACCTCCCCAGAGTGTGAGCCGGCGGCTGTGTGGCTCAGCCTGTGATGTTTCCCCTTGGCTCTGACCTTCTCCTTCCCCAGGACCTGCGTGCCAGATGTAAGAAGCTGAAGCCCCTCTTGTTCCGAGTGGCCAGTGAAACGGTGGAGAATGAGACGGCTCTGGGTAATGGGGGGGGCAAAACAGGGCTCGGGGAGTGGGACATTTGGGCACGGATGGGTTGGTGCCCTCTGTATGTGGCCTGTTTCACGCAGGATCCGTGTTAAGGCCGGTCTTCTGCAGAGGGGTTTAGGGGCAGGGGGAAGGGATGGAGGCCAAGTCCACGGTAGCAGTTCTTTCTCCCCCTGTTTTTGTAGCGGAGATTCTCCAGGCCAATGACAGACTTGTTCAGGGACTCCGCCGGTACGAGCAGCTGGTGGGCACCGACGAGGATGGTAAGAGGAGCTCTGCCCTTCCTGCCTGGCGTTTAGGGAACCGTGTGCAAGACTTCGGGGCTGTCTGTGGAAAGGTCTCCTGTTTTGGGTGGGAGGAGGAAAGATCTCGTTCCGTCGTCACCTTCTGTTTAGCTCTCTAGGAAAGGAGCATTTAATTGCGTCAAATATGCAAGAAGTTCCAAAGGGCCCCCATTCTTTGCACTTGGTTCTGGAATGTAGGCTTTTCTGGTTCTAGAGAATGTTTGTGATCTTCCGTGGAAGACAGCTCCCCATCTGTTGCTCATCACTTTAATCTCTTTGTTGTGCCTGGTGTTTGGAGGGGCGGCGGCAGCAGAAAAGGGATATACAAAATATGCATTTCAATATCATAAAAACTAATAAAAGAGGAAGCGAGCAAGCATCTTGGAGAGCTTTCTCCCCAGGCTGGCCGGCCGGCTGCTGCCTAGAAGAGGCTCTTTCTAAGGTGGCTTCCCTTTCAGCTCAGCCTCCCTCTCCTCCTCCGGATGGCGCAGGCAGCCTCCCGCTCATCGACCTTTCCGATCTGGATTTGGCCTCCGGGGCTCCCACTGTGGGGCAGGAAGGCGACGCCACTTGCGCACCCTCCCAAGGCGGGCCGCTGTCCCCTGCCTCCTCCACCCACTCTCTTGACGAGGAGCTGCTCTCGGCAGCAGGTCAGTGCTGGGCATGGGGAGAGTTTCCTCCCTTTTCCGGGGAGACGGCGCGTCCCTTCTCGGTTCTCCCTGGCGGGAGCGGAGAGAGGCCAAGGCTGATCGCCAGGCACAGAGTCCCGTCTCCCTCACCTCCTTCCTCTTGCTCTTTTCTTCTCCTGATGGTCCTTTCCGTCAGCCTCAAGCACTCTGTAAGGTCAAAACCAAGCCACAAGGCAGCTTCCCAGCTGGGTGACAGCAGCACCCTGAGTTTACACCCAGCAAGCCCTTTATGGGGCTCCCTCCTCTGAGGCAAAGTCTGAGCTCTTGGGGTGGCCCAAGCCATCCATGCCCGCGCCTGGTGAAGGTTTGGGGCTCCCCAGGAGGAGCCTCTTCCTGGATCTCCCCAGCTTCTTCCTCTGGGGCTCTTGGTACGTCCTTTGGGTGGCTTCCCGTTTCTCCTTCCACGCCTGCAGGTGGGACACCAAGAACAGGCAAAATAGGAGGGGAAGGAGGGGGTGACATTGCTGCCAAGAACGAATGCTGGTGTTGCAGAAGGCCAGCACTCTGCTTGCCCTGGGTGGTGAGAGGTCACCTCCTCCCACTGACCCTCTCTTTCTGCCAGGTCTGCCCAACAGCCCCCCGCCCGGCGCTTCACTCCCACGCGGGGGCCCTGAAGTACCACCCCTGCTACCCACCCACCCGGCATCCTTGGCAAACCTTTTTGTCCCACTGGACTCCATCAAGCTGAGTAAGTTGTGGGGGGAAGCAGTGGGGAGTGGGGGCCAAGCAAATGCCCTGGCTGCTGCCCTGTTAACCAGAGAACCTCAGAAGAGCCCGGAGGCCGGAGGGGCCCCCAAAAGAGGCCCTCGGGTCTCTAGGGGTTCTGTTCACCCCCAAGGGGTCAGCCAGCTGCTCCCGTGGACGCAAGCGTGAGGAGACCACCCCTTGTGCACCCCTTGGCCGTGGGCCTGCAGACTGAGGCTGAGAATGGAGGCGCCTGGTAGCCACCCTGGCTTCTAGCCATGGGGGGCCTTGGCCACTGTGGGGGGAGAGCTTGTGAATGGAGTTGCAGTCACTGAGCCTCACTGGCAGGGCTACCTCCTTGTGGGGGTGCCCCTGGCAGTTGCCCGTCTGCTTCAGGATGGGGGGGGCGGGAAGGCAATCTCTTTGAGCAGCCCCTGGCCGAAGCCACTCGCCTTTTGCCTGGAGAAAGAGGAGGAGACGGAGGGGAGTGGCCCCATGGAGAAGAAGTGGGGGATCCTGTTCATTGGGCCTTTGTGCAGCCCCCCCACCCCCACCCCCGCCGTGAGGAAAGGCTGCCCTTGGCAGATGGAAAGGCCAGGGGCTGCCGCCGGGCTGACCCTTGCTGCTTTGGGCCCCTCCAGGCAGACTTCCGCCGGTCACTGTCTTCGAAAAGGAGGGTCTGAAGGCCATGCTCCACTTCTCCAGGGACCCCGTGCCCGGCCACCCAGACACCAAGGTGCTGGTGCTCTCCCTGCTGAGCACCGCCCCTCATCCTGTCTCTAACATTGTGTTTCAAACCGCAGCCCCCAAGGTAAGTGGGGTGATTTTGCCTGCCTGGCAAAAGAGGCAAAGCCTCCTGGCCATTGGGGGTCTAGGGGTGCAAAAGGGCAAAAACAGGCAGAGTTTCCTCCACCTGTTCCCGAAGCCACAGGCAGCTGGGCCGAGTCTCGCCGCCTGTCGCTGGCAGGGCTCCTAACGCTTCCTCTCCCTTCCGTTTGCGGCCGACGAACGGCAGTCCATGGCAGTCAAGCTCCAGCCGGCCACGGGTTCAGAGCTGCCTGCCTTCAACCCCCTGCTGCCCCCAACGGTGATCTCCCAAGTCCTGCTGCTGGCCAACCCTCGCAAGGTATGTGCCTGGGATTGGGGTGGGGGTGTGGGGGTGGCTGGCACCCCAGGAGTGCTGTTCTGTGCAACTACCAGGCAAGGAATCGGGGGGGAGGGGGGAGCAGCTGCCAATGAGTCTTCTGAACCAGCCTGGCTGCCTAGGAAAAATTCAGAACAGGCATGGGTGGGGACAGCTTTTGGGTAATGATGGAATATGTCTCCCATTATCCCCACCCACGGGCTACACCAATTGGTGGGATGGGGTGGGTGTGTTAATATCTGCAAGTTTCCCTGCCCCTGATGGCTGGAGAGGCTTTGTCATGCCAGCTGACGGGGTGTGGACCCTTTCCTGTGTTTTGCAAAAATGATGGACATGAGGTGGAGAGGGCCATGGGTGGCCCTTCCCAAATGGGGGTCTCCTGATGCTTTTGGCTTGCATCCTCCACCACAGCGGGGGGTGGGCGGGCGGCTGACTCTGCTGCCTGGGGCTTTGGGAAGGTGAAACGTCTGGCATCATCTGGGAACTCCTGCCAGGGAATGGCCGTCCATATTGGTCAGAAGGGGCTAGGCCAGCAGAGCAGAGGGCTGACCATCTCTGCCTCCTTTTCTTTCCCCCAGGCTCCCTTGCGGCTGAGATACCGGCTGCTGTTCACCCGGAAAGGGCAGAGTCACAGTGAAGTTGGAGAGGTGACGGATTTCCCCCACGAAGACCTCTGGGCTGGGAGTTGAAGAGAGACCCCCCCTGGCTTGACCCTGCTGGCCTTTGCTCCAGAGGCTGACTCAGAGATGCTCATGGGATGCCTGGGGATGCATCTGCTCCACCTTTTCTGTAAACCAATCTATACAGTTGTGGTTAAAAGGCAGCTGCCCTTCTAGCCACCCGGACTTCAGAAATGCCACCGGATTTTCTTTTCCTTCACTCACTTTGATGCGACTGGACTGCGGATGCCTTTGTAACCCCTGCCTCAAACTAGAAATGCTACTTTTATAATATGAACTATTATTACGAATGGGCATGCTGTGGAGCCTTTGTGATCCAATACTCCACAAAATACTGATATACAACACAGTGTCTAGGAAATAATTAAGAGAGTGAGCTTTTATTGAGAAAACCTCAGGAACTGGAAACAGAGACGGTGGAGCACCTTTGCCCGGGCGGCTTCAGGATGTCGGGGAGATGAGAGTCAAAGGTGCCCTGGGTGGGGATCTGGAGAGCTGGAGGATGATCCTGGAGGGCAGGGAGCAGCAGCCTATGGGGCAGGGTGGGAGAGAGATGGAGGGTACCCATGTGTGGCATGCCCAGGATAACTGCTCAGGAATTCTGGAACCGCCCTAGTCAGGAACCGAAAACGGTTGGGGGAGTCTGTCGGTTAGGACAGCTGTCATCATCACCTTGGGGTCGGGGTCTGTGAGACCTCGTGCATCTGCCGGGCTACCTGGGAATCCACTTAGAATTTCCTGAGAGCTTCTTGGAGCTTCTTTCGTGTGGCAGCGTTTCCAGAGGGAGCCCTTTGCAATTTGGAAAGGATGAACCACAACACGGTCACACTTGGTCCCAAGGCTTGCCAAGTCACGATGACTCTGTGCTGGAATTCAGCTTTTCCTTGTCTTGAGAAGGCAAACACCTGGGTCCCCCCCCTCCCTGTGGACTGGCCTGTTTGCGTATTTTGAGGAAGGCCAGGTAGCTGCTGTGTCATCTTCCAGCCTGTCTCAGAGGAGGTCCCCTCGCTTACTGGGGGAGGGGGGGGACATGCGTTGTGTGTCCGGCCGGAACAAAGTCCGCTGGCAAGGAGGGGTAGCTGTGCACCCCTTGCGTCCAACGGCTCCGGCTGACTGCTGGGCAGCAGCACAAGGGGGCCAGAGGGGATGAGGGGGTGCTCTGACAGCTGGTGTGCAAACCCAAGTGGGAAGGGTCCCGAAGCCACAGGCGTCGCTGGGCTGCCGTTTGTGGAGAGTGGCAGATGGGCCCCATCTGGACAGCCCCAAGGGGGGCCCGCTCCTGGCCTGCTGATGGAGGGCGGCAACGGGGCTTCCTGGCCGGCTGTGCAGCCCAGGGCTGGCCAGAGGCGAAAGAAAGCCGACGACGTCAGCTGGAGGGACCCCTTGCCTTGCCCAGCCATGCAGGGCGCCCGGTGTTGCAGCCAGCGGACCCCGCCTCGTTGAGGCCGGCGGCATCCGAAGGCCTGCTGGCCTTCCCCATTCGCTGGGAGGGCCGGTGGCTGGCCGGGCAGGTGCAGCCCCCCCAACGCCCCCCCTGTGGCCCTGCCTCCCTGTGTGTGGCGCATCCACCCCGGGGGCTTTGCTGTGATGTGGCAAATACACCAAGATGGACGCCGCCCGGGCAGGAGGAGGGTGACGAGGCCGCGAGAGGGAAGGAAGGAGGGAAAGCGGCCAGGGCGCCTGCGCGCAGGTGTGTCCCGGCGGCCAGGTAGGCAGGTGGGGGGGCGCGCGCGGGGGGGTCGCTAATGGATCCTCTCCGGATAGGGGTAGTCTACCTACCCCTTGGAGGGGGTTGGGAGCCCCTTTTCCTCTCGGAGGAGGCCTCATCCTGCCCGGTCGGGCGGCCCTTCATCTACCTGTCAGTGGCCTTTGGGGTGGCGGACGGAAGGCGGCGCAGAAGCTTGCGGCCCCTCCTCCCTCCCTCTTTCTGTCCTCACCGCGACAACAGCCCTGCGAGGTCGGACGGGCTGAAGCAGTCCCTGGACTGCCTGGCCTGGCAGTGTCTCGAACTCACCTCTCTCCCCCCCCCCAAGTCTAAGACGATCCCCCTCCCAGGCAGCTTTACTGAGGGTGGCTGTGCAGAATTCGCAGGGGGGGAGTACCTTTGCCAGCCCTGCCTGGGGCTCCAAGGGGCTTGACCGGCTTGTTTGCTTCCCAAGGAAAAGCAATTAAGTGACATGTTTTAAAAGCATCTATTGTGCATTTATTGGCGCACCCCTCCTGCCCCTGGTTCGTGGGTTGTTCTGCTCACCCATTTCCACCCTTGCAACTTACCTGAGAGGCAGGTCTTGCTTGCTTGGGAAGGACAAAGACGCTCAGGTGATGTCCCCTAAGATTTCATGGCTGAGGACACCTGAGGCCAGCCACTGGGACCGATCCACTGTGCGCGCGTGTTGAACGTAGCACATTGAACAGCTCAGCTTGTTACGTGCTGGTACCTAACAGAATTCTTGTGCCTGCTTTTGAGATTTAAAAAAAAGATCCTTTAATTGTTATTTTAAAAACAGAAGGCTACCTCGATTCAGATATCAGGGTTCTGAGAAACTTAAAAACTGGTAGGATTTTTCCAGTTTTCCAAACGGTCCATGGAATTGTTCACTGAATGTGGAAAATGACACCAGGACCTATATATTTATGTCAAATTGTGCCCCCATTTCAAGGGTCCACATTATACCAGTGCTCTGTTTCATGAAGTTTGTTCTTTTGTGCCATTTTTCATAAGCCCAGCGAGCATTTCTTAGTGGAATTTTCAGCACAAGGTACCCGGGTGTTACAGACAGTCGTTTGTGTAGCTGTGTTTTCTTCTTCTAGTGCTTTTATGACGTTTATTTTTGGTGCCCTGTGTTGTCAGGTGTCCTGCCCTTCTGTCTCCTTTGCTTTTTCTTTACCTGGGGTGTATATCTGCAAAACCCAGCATGGTCACACAGAGATGTGATACTTCCCTCCCTCCTCTTCACCTTGTCCCCTTCCAGCTGGGCGACCCGTCTGAAGCAAAGTGAGGGTGTTCGGGCACCATGGATTTCTCCAAGTTCCTGGCTGACGATTTTGAGGTGAAGGCTTGGGTGAACGGGGCCTTTCGAGCAGTACATCAGGAAGCCCCAGGCAAGGTGGATGCCCACGCTGCCACCTTGGTGATGAAGCTCCAGCTCTTCATCCAGGAGGTCAACAATGCTGTGGAAGGTGAGGATTTCCAGTGCGATGAAACTTGCCCGTGGCTTCCAAAGAGGAAGGGAGGACCTCACCTCTTCTTGGGCCAAGGTGGAGGGTAATAGAAACAGCCCTGTTGGCCTCAGCTCAAAATAGGACAGGTGTGGAGTCCAGTCTCGCCAGAGCCGCACGCTGTAGGAATCCGCCCGCCTTGGTGCCCTCTGAGGAAGGGGAGGCACTGGGACTTCACGTCGACGAATATTCTTTAAAAAGAATATTCCCCCTGGTGCACCGAGCTGTCCTGTCTTTGACCCTTGCTCTTTTCTCTCTCTCTCCAGAGACGAGCCAGCAGGCCCTCCAGAGCATGCCCAGAGTTCTGAGGGAGGTAGAAGCCCTGAAACAGGAGGCAACTTTTCTGAAGGAGCAAATGGTCCTGGTGAGGGAGGATATTAAGAAGCTGGAGGAAGACACAGCGCAGTCCATGCAGGTACCTGGGCCTCTCGCGTGTGGCATTTCGCTCCCTGGGTTACCGACCCAACCGTCAGTATTGCCCTTTTGGGCTCCAGCTTTGCCTCCAGCAGAAACCCCTGCTTTTGACTTTGGACCTTAGAGCCGGGAGCCCCTCCTCCTGGTTCCATGCCATGTAGAAAGTACCCAGAAAGAACAGTCATAATCTTTGGATTCTACACAACAGTATAAACCCAGTTTGGTTTCCATTTTATCCCCTCTTGCGCCGACATCTTGATGAGAACCTTTGGTGCACAATCAAACGCTGCCCTGTCCAGCAGATGGTGTTTACTCGTGTGCAGAGTGACCTCTTTGTGTGGCAGAGTGTCTCTGACTTGAAGCGGAAGTGGTATCCCCTGGAATGGCTGGCCTTATTTTTCGACTGGTCCCGATTGCCATAAAGACGTTAGTCTTGCATGTGGCTTGGCCGTCTTGGAAGATGCCGCCGGTGGTGCTGCTTACCTTGAGGACCCTGGAGCATCCATGCAGGGTCCAGGAAGAAGGCAACGGTGTTGATTTCATCTGCTCTGGATTAGGCTGTAGTCGAGGGCACGTCGGAGCTCTAGTCAGGCTCAGTGGACCAGAAAGGCAGCTGGCGAGGTATCGGACAAGGGCGCAGGCTGCCCTCAAATGATCAAGCATGCAATTTGCCAAATGTAGCAGCAACACCTTTGAGACAAGAGAGAATCCTTGCATTGCATTCTGGCCATAAGACCTGAGACAGAGACTCATCGGCCAGGGAATAAAACACATCAACACGCGGCTCTCTCTTTTTCAGGTCTTAGTCAAGCTGGATCATGTGAAATCTCGGATGCAGCTGGCGGCCGATTCACTCCAGGAAGCCGACAAGTGGAGCACCCTCAGTGCTGACATCGAAGAGACCTTCAAAACACAGGTAGGTGGCCCATGGGCTGGCCCCTGGCCCTTCTGTCTACATGGGGGGAGGTGTCATGAAGCTGGGCCAAAGCACCGTGGCTTCAGGGAGGACGTTGCACTGGCAGAGCTGTCTCATAGGTTCTCCAGGCTGGTCAGATTGCGGGCCGTGTTTTAATTCTGTCTGTGTTGACTGTGTGTGTCTCAAGTCATATTCTTGACCTAAAAACGTAGATTTTGGGTGTCTTTTAGGGCTTTTAAGATGCCTTTGTTGTTTTGATGTAGTATTACTGTCCTACTGAGTCTGGGCCTCGGGAATCTGGCTGTGGACTCTGGGTTTCTGAAGGTCACGGGCTCCGCTTCTTCCTTTCTGCATCCAGGATGTATTGGTCATCTCAGCCAAGCTGACCAGCATGCAGAATAGCCTGGCTGTGCTGGTGGACACGCCAGACTATGCCGAGAAGTGCGTGCACCTAGAAGCCCTCAAGAACCGCCTGGAGGCCCTGGCGAGCCCCCAGATCGTGGCAGCATTCAACACCCAGTCGGTCGGTAAGGGAGGACCTGCGCTTGCGCCGGGGCGATGCGCCCTTCCCTGGTGGGAGAAGGAGGCAGGATTGTGTGCTGGCCCCGGAACGGGGTGTCCTCCTCCTGGGTGGGCTGCTTGGAGGTCAGGGCTGTCGTGTTCACACACTGGTCACAACCCCTGCGTTGTTTCTTTGTTTCCACACCATCCTTCATCGCAGGTCAGAACAGGGGCTCTCCGCATCTAAGAGGCAGGAAGATGATTGAAACGCCAAGGGGGCCTAATCCAATAGCAAAGCCCCCCCCCCCGTGTCCTTTTCTGTGTCCTTGTGGGAAGTTGCTAAATTCTTTGCAGCGGAGAATTCTGCCCTTCCTCTTCTCTTGTGCAGAGCACTGACCACAGACCAAGTGCAGAAAATGCTTTCTTCCTCTCCCTGGTCTCCCCCCGAATGTGAGCACAGCCCCCTCGGAAAATCCCTGTTCCTCTCCTGTCATTTCACGTGCTCTTTTTTGGCCCAGCTCTGGGTAAAGAGAAGGCCTGGCTGGCCTTCCTTCCAAAGGTTCCTGCTGGTGTCTGCCTGACCCTCAAAGGCCAGCTGGCCTCTGAGGCTGGCGGAGCCACAGGACACATGGAGGGCGCTGCCTGTGTCCGTGAGTGGGACAAAGCGTGTGGGTTAAGAACTGTTTCCTGGTGAGAAAAGTGGGGCCACTCAGCGTCTGGCAGGAGTGTAGTCTGAAGCTCTTGTGGCCAGGATGGGACCGCCTGGTGCTTTGCCAGGATGCCACCAGGAGGGGGTGCTCTGGGACTGGGCAGAGCAGGGCTTTTCCCTTCCAGGCCACCTGGCACCCAGCTGGCAGCTAGGAGGGCAGGAAGAACCCTCTTTCTCTCTGGATTTCCACACAGCCTTTCCCTTTCCTTTTGTACCAGCCACGATGCCGGCTGCCTTCTGGGAGAGCCGGAGACAGGCCGTGCAGGAAGAGCGTGTGGGGCTGCCATGTCTTGAGACAGCCCGCAGGCAGGCCCCAGGTCAGGGAGGCGGCCTCTGCTCGCCTTGGCCCTCGGCCCCGCTGACCAGACCGGTCTCTTTCAGATCAGGCCCGAGTCTTTGTCAAAGTCTTCACGGAAATCGACCGGATGCCCCAGCTGCTGGCTTACTACTACAAATGCCACAAGGTACTCTGTCTCCCATCTCCAAATGCCTTGTGGACACACACACACACCCCATTTTTTCCGTCTGTTCCTGCAAAAGGCTTTTGGCACGTACATGTCTTAGGGGCCTGTCCCGTAAGTTCCCCCGAGGCTCTTGGATTAGGAAGGAAAGCGCTCTGGGCCGTGGGCTGCTCTCCGCCAGTCCTCCCCCTCCAGGCAGGCTGCCTCTTCTCAGGATACAGTTGAATGTGCTTTGCCGTGGGAGGTGGCGTGCCTGGAACCTGAGCAGCCGCAACGGAGTGGTGTCGGTTTCCTGCACAGTTATGAGCAGCATTCCACCTGGAATTATTTCCGAGGAGGGTGCAGGTGTCAAGGGGGCAAGGGGGCAGCTCTTCGGCAGGGCTTCTGCATTCCACGTAGGCTCTGGAGTTGAGCCCGGGGTTTGGTCCAGTCGTGCTTTTGCAGGTGGCTTAGGGAGTCCTCTTTCAAGTCTCAGCTCTGTGCAGTGAGGGACGGGGGGCAAGTGTTTTTCCATTAGCACGAGGTTTCCATCCCCCGAAGTGGGTGCCATTTCAAGGATCGTGTTTCCTCCCAACAGTTAGCAGGGTTAACTCTGCCCTGCGAGGCAGGGAACACCCGAGGCCATCCAGTCAGCCTTGCAAAGGGGGGAACCTGGGTTTCCAGCCAGTTTATCTCTCTCTCTCTCTCTCTGGCTTCTGCAAGAGAGGTCAGATGGAACCTTCTTAGGAAGGGCCGTCTGGCAGTCATCTGGGAGTGGAAAGGATAAGCTCACCCTGCTGAGGGACTCATCCTTATTTCCTGTGCTCATATGAACAAAGCAATGTCCCCACGGGGGAGGGGAGGGGACCCTGGTTGTGGGAATGCGCCCCTGACTTTTCTGTCCCTCACAGGTGCAGCTCATGACGGTGTGGCAGGATCTGTGCCAGTCGGACCTCCCGTTGGATCGGCAGTTGACCGAACTCTATGACGTGTTGCTCGGAACGTGGCACTCGCAGCTGCAGTGGACCACGCAGGTAGGCAGGGCGCGTGGCTCGTGGCTTAGGTTCATGTGTTGCAGGTCCAAGAGGAGACTGGGGCGCAAGCAGTGGCAGCAGCAGCGGCAGAGTTCTGTGTAGCCCCGCGGAGAGACTGCCGCTGCCTCTCAGCCGCTCTGCCCCTCTCGTCTGTCTGAGATGCAGCCAGATGGGTCAGCGGAACTGCCAGCATTTTGGGTGGGCCCCATTTCATGCCTGGCCCAGCCTGGCCTGGCACGTCGGCTCTCTTGGAGGGGGGGGCGGCGGCTGTTCTTTAAATGAATTTTGCAGCTCCCCTGGATTTGGAGTTCCTTGAAAAATTCTGAGCCCTGTTTGCCTTGGTAGTGACATCAGGCCTGGACCTCAGTCGGTTGTGGCCGCCCCCAGAGGGGTGGCGGGGGGGAGGGATTCTCTGGAAGCTTTTGAAACTTCTATGGGGCCCTTCGTCCCAGGATGGAATTTTGCTATTGGACGCAGGGTCTGGTGTCGTGATAGCCTGTGGGGTGTTCGTTGTGGAACATTTTCATGCAAAGGAAAGTCGAAAGCAAGAAGGGAGGCTTCAGTCGGATCCTGCTCAGCTTTTCTGCCCAGTCCCTTGACTCTCTCTCTCTCTCTGGCAAGCAGAACCAGCATGACTTATGAGAAGTTCCATTCCTCTGCCGAGAGAAAAGCAGCGTCCTTTCTAGAAGAGCAGGGCTGAGGGGAAGTGGGAGAGAGACCTGTTTGGCCTCTTTGTGGAGGGCGTGACCGGAGCGGATGGGCATTGATACAAGGCTGGCAGCTCCAGCTTGTCCTCTCCCCCCCTCCCCCCGTAGCGATGCCCGGGGCTGGTTGCCTGCTTAACTCTTTCCCTCTGCTTTAAATCTGTGGCAGTTGCAGAAAGGTAGCCAGGCCCCGATGGCTTGGTGGAGGGAAAACTGGTTTCTTAGGACCGTGGCTCTTGTCAGCAGCTGCCAACTTCATCAGATTAGCTTGATGAGGCCTTTCACCCATGAAGGAGAAAGCTGATGGTTATCTTTGGCAGGTGATGGGTGTTCGGCTGGGGGCCCTTCGGCGCAGAGCCCGGAATAGGCTTCCCCTCTCTGTGTTGAGTTAATCAGGGTCACAGGCCCGTGCATTTCTCTTTCCCAAGAGTCAGCTGGGTGCCTTTCTCCCCCCCCCCTGTGTGTGTCACACGTCCAGTGTGAGGTCCAGGCTCGGACATCCTCCTCTTCTTCCTCCTCTGACAGAGCCAGAGGTCAGCAAGTGAGGTCATGTCCCTGTGGAGGAGGTTCTCCCGGGTCACAGGCGCTGGGTCGGTTCTGCTTAGTACACGTCCATCCAGTCTTCAGCAAAATCTCTGTAAAGTGTGTGGGATTTATGGAAGCCAGAGGCAAGGCCACAGACGTTCAGAGTCCAGAAGGCCATTGCCGTGGGTAGGACATCCCGGTCAGGAGGAGTCTTTCTTCTGGATGGAGCTGGGAGGGTTGCCCAAAGCCGGAGCATCCAGCTGCAGCCTTCCTGACACCAAACCATCTTTTGAAGGCTTGGTTCCCTTCTTCAGCTCTT